GCTGTGACTCTTCTCCTTCAGTGGATTTCTTGGCCTCCAGCTCACCTGATTTCAACAGTAGCACCACCAAGTCCAGCCGGAAGCACCCTTCCCCTGACATGCCAGGTTCTTCAGAGCCTGGCTTTGACCCTCTAAAGTCATTTCCTTCCTACTGGGGCAAGTCCAGGGGACTAATATGATATGTTGACGCCTGCTGTGAATGCCCACTCAACCAATTTCAGGATCTTTAGGCCTTTGTCCAAGCAGAAAATATCAAAACTGTCTACACCTGAGGCCCAGGACCAAGGGAATCTGTCTAGACATAGCAGCCAGGGTGTTCACGATTATTTGGAGGGTTCTTCAAGATGAAGACAGAGAGGGCTGGTGCCATGGCTCAGCAGGCTAATTCTCTACCTGCAAGTGCCAGCATCACATATAGGTACCAGTTCATGTTCTGGCTGCTTTACTTCCCATCCAGCTCCCTGCTTATGGCCGGGGAAGACAACAGAGGATGACCCAAGTACTTGGTACCCTGCATCCTCATGGGAGCCCCATAAGAAGCTCCTGGCTTCAGATCGGCTCAGCTCTGACCATTGTGACCACAAGTGGAGTGAACCAGAAGATAGAAAGTCTTTCCCTTCCTGTCTCTCCTTCTTCCTATAAGTCGGTCTTTTAAGTAAAAATAAATAAATCTTTTAAAAAATACAGATAGAGGAGGAGGAGAAGTGGGTGCAGGAAAGGAGTAGCCAATGGGTAGAGCCAGTTCTATGTTGCCCCATTGGGTCACTGTGGTTTCACAGGGTTGAGTAAATGCCTAGTTCATTTAGCACATGCTCTAGATAATTCTACCAGTGTTTATGTATTAGTCTAAGCTAGAAGTAAACTTCACTTGACAGTAATAAACAAGATGAACAGCAAGGGGAAAGGGCTATCAATGTAAACAACAAGAGTTAACATGCATGATCACCTGCATATGACCCTAATACAAACATACTTCAAAAGCTTGTGGAAAATGGGCTGAAAAGTTTATTTTGCTTCAAGAGTTTTTTGGAACCCTTGCACAGTTTCAATTTTTTTAGATATGTCAACTTTTTAAGACTTCACATAATGATCTAGTGGTGTTTCACTGTCGCTTAAAAAATCAAGAGAGCAGAGCTCAGAAAAGCTAAATTCCTCCATGTTCTCATAGGAGGGGAGGAGACATAATCATTATGATTCCACATTATATTCTATGTTCACTCCTCCTAACCATGTACAACCATGTCACCATTCCTTAACAGTAAGCAATGGATGGGTGGTCCCTACTGGTAAATTATTAGCCAGCAACTAAAAAATTGGTTAGTGTTACAAAGACTGATAGTCACAGGTGGAAAGCAGATTTGAAGCACTCAGTTGGTGGCACACACACCTACACACACAAAAGAAAAGTAAGAAGAAAAACTTGTTCTGTTACTGACACCAGCAATTTCATCCATGGGGTAGGAAAATGTACATAGGATTGATTTTGGGGTGTAGTGGAGGGTGAGTTCCAAAGACCCTAATAAATGCTGACCTTAGGAAGCTCAGCAAGTTCCAACCTGTCATTCCTGCCAAAACACGACATCTCTGTAGCATGGAGCTTCAGAGAGAACTCACGTTCACAGCATGTTAGTGAATATGAACTGAATCAATGTGGAGCCCTTGTGGCAGACGGCATTTCTGAAGAACAGACACCTAACACACATTGAGTGGTAAGGTGTTAAGAGCTGTAACCTAGCCTCCTGCATTTGTGGGGATAATCTCAGAGGAAGCCAATGACATCGCAATCAGTGAGCCAGGGCTAGAAGCAGCCAGGTTTCCTGTCTGTTTGCCCATGGGTTTCTTCTGCAGTAGCAAATTCAGCTTTTGCGTGAGCAACCCATTGTACACAAATGTTTTTAAAATAATTTAAGTGGAATAAAATTTGGGATACATTTGGGATAAAAATAGGGATGAGAACATTCCTGTAACAGAGGAAAGCGTACAGTTTTTGTGCACAAAAACGAAATACAAATAATAGATCTTCAATGACCTCGAACTCCCAAACTCCCCCATAAACATTCCTCTACAGAATTTTGAAATGTATTGCTACAAATACTTTTCATAATACAAAATGCTAATAAATGTGTGATCAGAGAGAATTTCACTGGATATCACTGTTTTAAGCTATTTTTTTCATTGTCAAGCTCACTGGTAAGATTTAAGAATAGTATGTTTATCTGAATCAACAAAAATTAAAGACGATGACTTAAAAGATAAGAATCAAGCGGAGAAAATTATTGTATGTTCCTAATAATCTGAAATACTTAGTGTTTTCTCCAGTCATCAGGTAAACAGCAAATAATTTACCAAAAAGAAAATTAAAGACTAGCCCTACCAGTTTTTCATACTCCAACTATTAATAAATCAAAGTATATTAAAGAGAAACAACACTTTTTGAAGAAGACATTCTCATGAAAACGGGGGTGGGTGGGGACACATACAGCATTTTAAAAACAGTAAACCACTTGAAAACTTACAGTGGAAAAAAACGATTTCTAAACCCATGTGTCAGGTTAACCACATTAAGTGATGTCTTTCTGTAAACACAATCGTATTACAAAGAACTCTACTGAAATTTATCTAATTTTAGTTGAAACATCCGATGGTAGTGTAACACACCTCCACGGTTCAACCCATGCTTCTTTCTGATTTCATAGAGCCTAGACCACGTGTCAATGAGTCTAGCTGTTCAAAGTAACTTAGCCGAGCTTTTGTGTAATGGCCCGAGTGTTCATTTTTGTTAATTCTTATACTAAGGTAATAGAAGGAAGTTATTTACTCCCTCCCCCCACACGCACACATATGCAATGCTTTTAAAAGAAAGCGAGAGAATGCGCTCCATACAGGAGGGAATAAATTCTGGTTGTGCATACTTGGGCAGGTTGCCGCAGAGTAATACGGTAACAGCAGGAGATTACGGTACTAGCTGGGCTCCTGCTCTTGTTACGTCAGCGAGAGCTGCAAAGTTGCTCGCCGTTCTTTTCTGGTGTCAGGGATATTAAAAGGGGTGATAGTGGAGTCAATGCTTAGCTGCATTTTTTAAATTTTTCCTCTTTTCACTCTTCATTTTAAAATACCCAAGTGAAGTATGAGATAGGGAGCCTGGAGCTTGAAGACATTGGTAGTGGAGGGGTGAGTCAGCGAGTGCAAAAGCACTAGGATTTGGTTCCTTGGAGAGACGGTGCTCTTGCCCCCAACCCGTGAAGCAGCAGAAAGCTCCTGGGAGCGAAGCTGTGGCTATCGCTCCCCCCGCGCGCCTGCGGGTGGCTCGGCATCCGCGCTTCAGGTGAGTGCGCTGCGGCGCGGGGCGCGGGGTGCTGGCACCCAACAGGGCCCGATGGGTGAGGGCTGCAGGTCCCCAAGCTCCGGCGTGGAGGAAGCCCCGGCCGGCCCCCAGCTGGCCCCAAGCGGCTCTTGCTTTTCTCCGCGGGGTTTGATACCAGCACTTTTACCTCACCCCCGTTTCCCACGATATATTCTGGAAAGTTACTTCTAGCCAACAAGTGTCTTTTGAACCCCAAGAAATCGCCCCGAGGAGAAGGAAAATCAGTGTCTGCAGTGGCTTGCTGTTAATGACACCTGTGAGGTCTTGCGTGTGTGAGCTTCACAAGGGCCTTTGCGGAGAAGATTCCTCCTAAGAACCCAACCCCAGGAGGCGAGTAGGGGGTGAGGGCCCCGTACTCCGGCCGGGGATCTTTCCAGTTGCTTGCCGCTATGAAACCCCCAGTTTCCGACTCAGAACGTGTCTTCCCAGCCCCGAAAATCCGAGGCGTCTCCAGTCTGTTGGCAAGCGGACTGGGTTTTCATGTTTGCAGATTCCGCCGCAGTGACTGCCACTTGCGAAGCCCCTTCCGCAGCATCATGCCCCCACCCCCACCACGCACGCTGCACCCACCCGTTTTCCCAGAAGTCTGGGTGTGGCTCGCGGCTCACGCCCCTCGGGAACGGTCCACTCTGTGGTCTGGCACACTCAGGTCGCGTTCAGCCCTCCGGATCTGCTCGGATTTGCTCCGGACCCGGCCCCAAGACGCGCGCTCTCTACACAACCAAACGCAAATTCCTCAGGCTGGAACTAGTCCTGAGGTGCCTGGGTCGCAGCGGTCCCCTCTTCTAGGCCGCCCCCTCCAGATGACTGCGTTTGCAACCTGTTAACCGGCTAACCCCTGTGGATTGCACCTGCCGGGCTCCGGACAACACGTCCGCCCGCTGTACTCTTAGCCTTTGATGAGCCTTGGTGCTGTTGTTTCCTTTATTCTTTCTTCTGTTTTTGGCTTCGGATCCTGAACTTGGTTCAGAGGCGGCGAAGCGGAGCGCGTGAGGGCAGGTTCCCAACGCGCCGCGCATTCCCCACCAGTGTAGTCCCGACGCGGCGGCTCCCAGCTTCTCCTGAGCCGTAGAGGTGTCGGGGCTGGCGGCTGGGGTCGTGCTGCCCGCCGGGTTCCGCGCGGCCTCTCTCCCCGGGATGCCTGGCTCACAGTCCTGCTTTCTTTTTGCGTTCTTACAGGAGAACGCCGTCAAGCGCCGGTTGGAGCCTCTTGGGTCTCGACAAATATTTCACACCCGTGTCCCCCGGCCCGTGAGCCAAAAGCTGGAGCCAGCAGGAGTGGGGCGGACGAGCTGCGGGGAGCTGAGGACGGCAAGCTGAGCCCAGTCATCAAGGCTGCTTTTGTGCACCGACGGCCGACGGCCGAGCGCTGCTCCCCTGTGGTTGAGGGAAGCCTGGCGCTGCAATTTTGAATTCCAAATTACGTACACAATGCGCAATCTTCAGACAGTGCTGAAAAGCCCACTCGTCTCATTGTAGGACTGCAAAGCTCCTCCCGGAGCTTCACGCCCAGCTTCACGCCCCCGCGCCCCCTCCAAGTCACTTCGGGAGCGCGCAGCAGGTGGAGAGGGTCTCCGGGCTGCCGCGACTGGCCTTGGTCATGCCGCTGGTAACGCCCGGCCCCTTAGCTTGGCCCTCCAAGGGTTCCCAGGGCCGCCCCCGGCTGTTTCCCATTCTCGCGTCCTCTCCCGCCACCAGCCAAACCTAGCTGGCAGGGCCATCCGGCGCGGGGGAGACCTTTTGACTCCTCACTGCCTCGCTCGCGTCTCCGCCCCCGCCCGAGGGTGGCCCTTGACAGCCGGAGCTCTCCCGGCCCGGCCGGGACCATGGTGTTTCTCTCCGGAAACGCTTCTGACAGCTCCAACTGCACCCACCCGCCGGCACCGGTGAACATTTCCAAAGCCATTCTGCTTGGGGTGATCTTAGGGGGCCTCATCCTCTTCGGGGTCCTGGGGAACATTCTGGTGATCCTTTCAGTGGCCTGTCACCGGCACCTGCATTCGGTTACCCACTACTACATCGTCAACCTGGCCGTGGCCGACCTCCTGCTCACCTCCACCGTCCTACCCTTCTCCGCCATCTTCGAGATCCTGGGCTACTGGGCCTTCGGCAGAGTCTTCTGCAACATCTGGGCGGCGGTGGACGTCCTGTGCTGTAGCGCGTCCATCATCAGCCTGTGCGTAATCTCCATCGACCGCTACATCGGCGTGAGCTACCCACTGCGCTACCCCACCATCGTCACCCAGCGCCGGGGCCTGAGGGCCCTGCTTTGTGTCTGGGCCGTCTCCCTGGTCATCTCGATCGGGCCCCTGTTCGGCTGGAGGCAGCCAGCCCCGGACGACGAGACCATCTGCCAGATCAACGAGGAGCCCGGCTACGTGCTCTTCTCGGCGCTGGGTTCCTTCTACGTACCTCTCACCATCATCCTGGTTATGTACTGCCGGGTCTACGTGGTAGCCAAGAGGGAGAGCAGGGGCCTCAAGTCCGGCCTCAAGACCGACAAGTCTGACTCGGAGCAGGTGACGCTCCGCATCCACCGGAAAAATGCTCCCACGGGGGGCAGCGGGGTGGCCAGCGCCAAAAACAAGACGCATTTCTCCGTGCGGCTCCTCAAGTTTTCCCGGGAAAAGAAAGCGGCCAAGACGCTGGGCATCGTGGTCGGCTGCTTCGTCCTCTGCTGGTTGCCGTTTTTTCTGGTGATGCCCATCGGTAAGTCTGTACCACGCCTCATCTTACTATTTCGGGGGGGGGGGGTCTTCATTCTCCTCCTACCCCCAGACTCGCAGTGGCGGGGTTGGGAGAATAGAAGGGGCACGGCCTGCATTTCAAAGGGCACAGCCCGCAGAGTGGTTGCAAAAGGCTTCCTTGGAGAAAATGTGAATTTTCATTCTCTTTCGCCTCCAGTCTCATTTACATTCGGTCCTAGGACACCTTTTCAGCCACTCGGAGCTGGCTTCCCACGGATGTAGATTAATTGGTCTCCTTCGTGAGAATGTGGACTTTTCTTAAAGCCTTTAAGCCTGTGATTAATTTAAACGCAGGCACCCTCTTCCAAGTCTGCAGGAATCTCCACTGGAGAACTTAGATCACTTTAGCTCTGCTAGGGAATGGAAATGCAAATTCTCCTGGCCTGAAAACAAGCACAGAGCTTATTCTGGACGAACGTGTGGTTTTGTTATTACATTAGGCTATTCACAAGGTTGGTTTAATGGTCTGCTTATGTTCAGTATCTGTGTTAACTCAATTTTTTTTGGCCTTGACATGGAAAAAAGTATGGTGAACCACTAACAGGGCAAGCAAACTGATGTCCAATGTAAGCCATAAAAAATTCATCATAATGTTTCTGATAAACACTAATTCCTTTACTCCAGTCGTAAGTAATAAAACAAATGCTATTCCTAGGCAAAATCATCCAGAAAACTGCAGATGACTTTGTTTGAAAATAAGACTGTACTGTTACCAATCCAATTTTTGTAGATGCTAAATTGACTGTTGTCAAAGTTAATCAGCTCTTTGTTAGTATCAGCAAGTGGGTGCACTTGAAATAGTTATTAAGCTCAGAAAGGCCTTCAATGAGAGCCCCAAATGGTCGTTTGCTATTTTTAGTTTGTGAGATCAAATATAGACTCACGCTTTGGCTATCTCCTAACTCTAAGAAATAAAAAGTCATGGTAAAAGTTAATGTTTCAGGTGCTTTAGAGCCAAATTTAAATGGCGTGTACTTCAAGTGCTTCAATGTGCAACTCTGGGTAATAAATAGCAGCTATTATTTTTTGAGTGGCGACTGTGTTCCAGACATTTTACTGGGCTTTTCATTTCATTAGTCTTCTCAGCAACTCAATGAGGTATGCATTATTATCATGAAATGACAAGTGAGAGGCAGGGATTCCTCAGGGTCTAATACCAAAGCCACCCATCACATACAGCTATTTAAACGTGAATGAAGATTAAGCCACACTAGTGTCGGTTTCTCAGTCCCATTTGAAGTGTTCAATATTCATCTGTTGACCAGTGGCTACTGCACTGGATGGCAGAAATGCAGAACATCTCCCACTGCAGACATTTCCAGCCAGCAGGGCTGCTGGAGAAGCAGTCTTCTACTTGACCTTCACTGTTTCTGTCCATCACTGTTGTTTACTGGGCTCCTGGAACTCATCAGAGTTTTGAGTTTACAAAATAACACAGTAACCACCTGCTTGTTTATCGTCCTGTATCCCAGCCACACTGCCTGTTGAACAGGGCACATTTATCCATGCATGCGTCCACTCAGGTATTCATTGGGCACACTATTCTAGATACTTCAGATGGATGAGGCAGAGAAATCCTTATCCACAGGATGTTTGCATTCTCTTGGAGAAGATAGCCATAAACAGAGGTATCCTGAAAGGTTAGGAATTAGCATTATGCTATTGTAATAATATGGGGGGGAAGCAGTTGGGGGAGGGCTGGAAGGTGGGATCCCTGTGCCCAGGGAACCATATCATGGAAACTAAGTAAAGCCTGCAGAGTAAGAGCATGGAGAGAGACAAGGCTGATGGGTTGGGTGGGAAGGAGAGTCCTGACAGTGTTTAAGCAGGACCGTGACTGATGTGGGAAGCAGGATTGCAAGGTTTGGGAGGAAAAGCTTCCAGGCATAGGGAACAGCAAATAGAGATAGGAAAGAGCTAGACCTGGGAAGAGCAAAAGCTCTTATAGCTCGTGGCCAAGCTACAAACAAGAAAAGGAAGACAAGTTCAGTGAGAGGCTGGGAAGACAGATGGGATCGAAATCACGTTCAGTGAAGAATGTGATTTGGGGGAGGGCAGGTGAGGGAGGGATAAAAATGAAAGTGGGGAGTCTTCGTTCAAGAAGTCAGAAAGAGAAAGGTCACAATGTGTGGATTCAGTTGGAACAAGTGGAGGTGGTGAGAAGTGGTCATATTAAACATACTTCAAAGATGGAACTGACAAGTTTGGCATAGGCTGTGAGAAAAACAGAAGAACTAATGATAATTTTCAGGTTTAGTGCTTGAATAACTGAGCAAATGGTAGTCCATTTTACTGATACTGGGAAAAAACAGATAATGATACAAAAAGGCTGGAGGGGGTGCAAACTAGAAGAATTTACTCTATATAGCATATGTTGAGAAGGCTACTAAGCATCTAAGTGGAACAGTAAAATAGACAGACTTATGCATTTGGAGCTTAGAAAAAAGGGTGGGCTGTGGATAACTTGGGAACATATGAGCATATATAATGCCACAGGAAAGAAAAGAACTAGGAAAACAAAACTATTAAAAGACAGGTAATAAAAAAAAATGGCAGGGGAGGTGTGGCAAGATGGCTCAATACCTAAATCCTCACTTTGCATGTGCCAGAATCTCATATGCTGTCAGTTTGCGTCCTGGCTGCTCCACTGTCCATTCAGCTCCTTGTGTCTGGCTTGGGAATATGTGAGACCCAGAAGAAGCTCCTGGCTCCTGGTTTTTGATTGGCTCAGTTCTGATTGTTGTGGCCATTCGGGGAGTGAACCAGCAGATGGATTATCTATCTTTCCCTCTCTCTGTAAATCTGCCTTTCCAATGAAAATAAATAAATCCTTTTTTAAAAAAATAAAGATAAGAATTCAGCCTTGAAAGCATTGTGATACTTGGAGGTCAGGTAAAGAGTGAATTAGCAAAATCGACTAAGCAGAAAAGACCTATAAAAAAAGGAGAACGTTCAAGAGTGTGGGAGCATAGTGTCCCTGATGCTCAGGGCGTGGGGAAATGTTTCAGGAAAACAACAGTAATCAGAATGTCCCATGCAACTGCTAGATCAAGGAAGAGGAAGACTGGGAACCCACACTGATTTCCCAATAAGCTGGTCCTTGATGTTAGGAAGAAAGCATATGAGACAGATAGCTTCAGTGGAGTGGCAGGAATTAAAGCCTGATTATGTGCTTTCTAGAAGGAACAAAGCTGAAGGAGCTGAAACAGAGAAATAGACAAGTCTTGAAAATCTATGCTAGAGTAGAGCTGGGAAATGGGTGTAGCTGGAGGGAACTAAGAGGTTTTCAAAGATAAGGGTTGTGGAATCATGATTATATTTTGGTGAGAATGATAGGACAGAGAAAAACATGAGATGATCACTACAGGCAAGAGAGGTAGTGGAATCCATTGCATGAGTGGAGGTTGGGAAGTGAGAGGAAGACATGTGCATGAGCACTGAGGGAAAGGGAGACATCTCAGAATATTTTAACATCTTCAATCAAATTACAAGCAAGATTGTTAGCTAAAAGCAAAAATAAAAAAAGAAAGAAAGAAAAGAAAAAAGGAATGGAGAATGTTGACAATTTGAGGAGTAGACATGTGAAATGTTCATCTCTGAGAATAGGTCCATAAACATATTGTGGAAGTTTAGGAGTCATCAGGAAATCATGAGGGTGCATTTGATATGTAGGGTCATAAATTTAAAATACAGTAGTCAAGAAGGCTGTATATTGCTTTCTAACAGCTTAGTGCCTGAGAGATGTAGGGGTGTTTAAGTGACAGGGCTCTAGGAAACAAGATGAAGAAGGAGAGGGTGCTTGGTAAAGGGAACAGTTTGAATCAAAGCTCAGGGAACATGCAGAACCAGCTGCTGTAGAGGAGCTCCATGGAGGGCAGGAGACCTGAGAGTTCGAAACTTGTGGTGACTGAGCTGTATAAGATGTGGCACATCGGCTGGGGTCCTGGCACCCTAAATGGGAGGGTGGGTGCTCTGCTCTAATCATAGCTTCTCTCTTGAATCTGTGCTTTTGTGGTAGGTGTCAGTGTTAAGGTGAAGAAGCTATGGTGCAGAGAACTTGTGGTAATCAATGGGCTTCCTGCCAGGTACTAATAAGGTGGTATAAGACAATGAAAACTTAGAGTTGACAGAGAACAAAGGATTCAGATATCTACAGTGTGTGGCCTGCAATTTGTTCCTGATCCTGATGGAGCAAGAGACTATCTCCTGTAAGATACACTGACCACAAAAGAAGTACTAGACGTGGAACGTGAATCAAAAGATAACTCACATTCGTAGCCCTTGACAGTTTCATACTCTAGTTAAGGAGACAACTTATGAACCGTTAATACAAGTCTGTAAGGCTTCTGCTCAATGCAGAATTATTTAGAGGTGCTGAGGAATACAGCAGTTTTCCGTATCCGGAAGATTATTGTAGAAGCCTCCAGAAGTATTGCTGTCAACCAAGTAAGTACTTAAAGGTGGCACTACTTCTGCTGGTTCATCAACTGAGATATTATTTGTTTGTATTAACAATCTTTTTTAAAGATTTATTTCATTTTTATTGGAAAGGCAGATATACAGAGAGGAGGAGAGACAGAGTGGAAGATCTTCCGTCTGTTGGTTCACTCCACAAGTGACCGCAACGGCCAAAGCTGAGCCAATCCGAAGCCAGGAACCCAGAGTCTCTTCCGGGTCTCCCACTCAGATATAGGGTCCCAAAGCTTTGGGTCATCCTCCACTGCTTTCCCAGGCCACAAGCAGGGAGATGGATGGGAAGCAGGGCTGCCGAGATTAGAACCGTTGCCCATTTAAGATCCCGGCGCATGCAAGGCGAGTACTTTATCTGCTAGGCTACCACACCAGGACCTGTATTAACAATCTTAAGACCATTTTTCGTGCAAAACGTGAGCAGAAAAATAAGCGTGCCACTCTACTATCATACATAAGGGACAATAACTCTTAAGCATGAGGAGTGTTCTC